AAGAGCTTGAAAATCAATACCTTAATAATGGGGTTCATGTAGATCTTGATGGGGATAGTTCAAATGATGACATACAAACAACTGAGTACAACACACATGGGAGAAAGCGCAAAATTCAAGTAAGAGAGCGCAAGTCACACAAAGAGTCTAAAACATATCAAATGGGAGATGCACTTAAAGCATGGGCCGAAGCATCTAAAGCAAGAGCAGAAGAATCTTTAGCTAAAGCTGAAAAGCATAGGGCCACTCCTTCAGTTGACTATTCTATTGCAAAGTGTGTGATTGCCCTTGATGAGATTAAAGATATTGCTAATGACATCTACCTAAAACCTTTGCAAAAGTTTATGGAACCTAGTTGGAGGGAAGTGTTTCTTACCATGTGTACTGATAGGAGAAAGATATGGTTAGATAGTCTTGATTGAGAACCTTTGCATGTGTGAATAATGTTTTTTGGTTGGGTTATGTCATGTTGTAGTTTGCTACACTTAAGTTTTTTGGTTCCGTCATGTCATGCTGTTTTTTGGTGTTACACAAAGGAACCCACTTGATCGTATGTGTAGTCTTGACTTGGGGGATTCTGTATAGTAGGATGTATAATTTTCAACCTAACTTATGTATTTTGTTGTGTAGCTGTAGCATAATAGTTATAATAATTTGAAGTGTTATGCACAGAGTACTTTTGTTTACTGTCTCTTTGCCAAATGAATGTTTTTAAGTTATCCTTTAAAACATTACATACGATTAAAAAAAATTATTAAATGAAATTGACAAAAAAAATAGTAATCAAACAAGTTTTCTATTTTTTGACTTTAAAAACATGTTTTTAAAACAAAATTACCAAGCAAATTTTTTTGTTTTTTAAGTTTTAAAACTATTTTAAAAACAATTTTATCAAACAGATTTTTTTCTTCTTTTGTTCTGAAAAATAGTTTTCAAAAACTGTTCTACAAAACTGTTTTAAAAATGAAAAAATGAAAACTCAATCAATCAGACCCTAAGTTTAAAGTTCTTGAGAACCCTCATCCTCATCCACATGCATATGATCATGAAAAGATACAATACTGGACCAAGAAGACTGAGTAATCAATGGTAGCGTGCTTTCAACCACCATAATGACAAGGGGTACGTCAGGCTCGTGACGTAAAACAAGCGCTAATTAAGAGGCAACTCAATAAGTTTGTTTTTTATTTTATTATTTTATTTTTATTTTATTTTGTTTTGTTTTTTTTTAAAAAAAATTATTTTCTTTTATTTTATTTGAAAAAAATTATTTTTTTTGTTTTTTGTTTTTTATTTTTTGTTGATTAAGAGATGATGTATTTTAAGTGGTTGTGAAAAATTTCAGGTGATTGAAAATTTTGTGAGAAAAATAAAGGAGTATCACTTCTCTGCGCCTCATACTCCAAATTGGCGTATGGTACGCCAAAAATCCAGTGATTTCTGTAAGAGACTATCTCCGTCAGCGCTTCGTACACAAAGTGGCGTATCAAACGCCAATTCAAAGAGGCTTCTGTTTCTCACGCCAAATTGAGTTTGTTATAATTTTTTATGGGGAAAGTGTCCGTAAATCTCAATGATACACACTATGTCATTTTAAGTTAAACGCTGCATTTTACAATGAAAATTTCTCACCAGCTCCGTGTGCGTCCTCCACTCTTCTTGCGTTCTCTATTCTTCCCTAATCCACATGTATGTTATTCATTCTCCTTTCTCACTGAAATTACCTTTCCCCACCGTTCTCATCTTCATTCTAATCTCTGTTTATCTTCAAGTTCCTTCCCACCCGCTGTGTGCGCCAAATATGTCCTCCATTATTCTCATCCCCTTTCACATGTTTTCCCTTAGTTTTTATTTCCATCTCCATTATTTTTCTCTCTCTTCGTTTTAGCTTTTTTGAACTGGGTATTGTCATGATTTCGCTTTTGAGCATTAGAAGATCTACACTAGAATATGGGTCAAAACCTAATTGGGTTTTATGTTTGCGGTTTGGGATATGATCTGAGTGCTTTTTCTTGTATTATTACGGTCAAATTATCTGATTTGATTGCTTGCTACAAGATTTTGTGAGCTCATGCATGGGTTTTATAAAGTTATCCGAGTGTACGTTCTTAGGAGTGATTTAATTTGAGGTACTATACTGCGTTTGGTTACAAATTTTCTGCCTAAATTGCATGCTTCATTTTGTTTTTCTATTATGTTGTGTACGCTTACTGGTGAGTGTGTTATTGAAGTGGGTTTACCGTTTTTCCATTTCCCTGATGTGGTCTTGGTAATGTGTCAATTGAGGTGTGCAATTGGTCTAATTTCAGTGCTAAAAACCTACTAATAAGCATGTTGTTTATGGGTTTAACATGTTCTCTTAGTTTTATTTTCTGGCGATATTGGGTGTTGTGCCCTAAATTTTGTTATTAGGATATCCGTATGGAATGCATATAGCTTTGGCTTGATTTGATATCCATTTGATTCAATTGTTTTAATGTTTTAACTCATTTAGCTCTGGTTGATTTTTAACTAAATTAGAAGCATTTAGTTAGGTTGGTTCCATTTTCACTATAAGAATCCACTTGCCCAACTGAAAAGTCACCCAGGAATCAATCTTAGTGTTCTTATTTGATCCATTGATACCAAGCCATGGCCTTCCGTTCCAAACAAAAAGGGGCAATTTGATATCTCTGTTCCTCTTCATTCTTATAGAAATATAAAAATTGCTCAACTTTGAAAATGCAAGTTTGGGTATCTTCAGACCCATCAAATCTTGGGACTTTGATCCTTAGATTACGTGTCCCTTGAGTGTCTCTAAGATTTGCAGTGCTGTGATTTGTATCAGTTAGGGACGTTGATGTGGTTATTTCACGGTAGTTGTCAAAATTTGCACAGAGTTTGCAAGTGAATTCTCGAAACATTTTGTTCATTTTCTACTTCAAACTCTCCACTGATCTGGAATGCATTTCTGGAGGCATGGTTGCAATGGAAGCACGATTTTGATAAGATAAACCTATGAGTGTGTAACAAGGAAGGAAAAGAGAAAGGAAACTTGAATATATATATTTTTTGCAATTTACTATGTTGTTTGTTTGGTATGAAAATTAACGAGTCTATGTTAGGAGTTTATGAACCTGTGACTCGAAAATAGTTGTTTGGTTTAGTTCTGTGACTTGTGTCCTTTATGATGCATGCATCTTAGCACTATCTATTTTGCTAAGCTGAGATGTCAATTTTTTTGGGACAAACATGCATTTTGATAGATGATGGAGCTGGTTGGGAAGAAAATGTGTATGCTTATTGTATTTGTTTGTGTAGGCTAAGAAGGAAGAGAACATCTATCTGGGCCTACACGGAGCGCCTCCTTCACAACCAAAACAGCAAGAGCTAAATTCATCCAACTGGAAACAGCGGTTTAAGCAAAAATTGAAATAAGCTGATAAGAGAAATAATGGGATAGGAAGGGAAAACAAATTGAATAACTTGAAGCACTACAGTCTGGTGCCCCCAAACAGTTGTTGTGTGGTTAATGAGGATGATAATTCTGAGTTCAAAGGAAGGAATATTGTTCAAGGAATCTTGCAGCACACGTGAACTTGCTTATATCCCATACAAGGGGTGGGAAATACTATATGAACAACAATTGTGAAGGAAGCTGTATATATTCTTATAGAATCGTGATATGTATAAGTTAATTATATCAATGTTAGTTTTGTATTTGGGATTGAATGATCCTTCAACCAAGATTGATGACAACTAAAATATATTGTTAATGTTGAGGTATATAGATCAATTTTTTGAGCAATTGATAGCTTGGATGGTATTGCTATTGCAGAAAAAACATGATGACAACAAAATTTCTTCGTGATAGGCTACATTTAACTTGAGATTCTCAATTGAAATAGAATATGGTAAACCACAATGGACAAGTACACAAATAAATAGAGAATATATGCAGGTTACATTGGCTTTACCATTAACTAACCTAGATACAAAAAAATACATTGATATTTATGTATACAAAAAAAAACCCCTGCAATTACATTGAACCCATCCAACAACCTAACTACCATATACCAAAATATTATGTAATAAATATACAGAACCCAACAAATACAAATAGTTATCTTTGTACCTGAAAAATCACAATAAATGAAAACCATTAGCTATTTTTTGACATTCAAAAAATAGTTCATAATAAATTAGTGCTTACCAAAATGTATCTTTGTACCTGGAAAAAAAATGAAATGCATTAGCAGCTTTTTAACTCAAAAGATAGTTCATAGTAAATTAGTGCTTACCAAAATGTCACAGTGAAAATATGTTCAATAAATATTATTCCTTTTGCTTCTCCCTTAAAACATCCATCTACAAATGAAATATCACAAACTAATTATCAAATTTAAGGAAGAAAACTAGCTATAAATAAAATCTTAAGAAAAATACCTTATGCTTATGACAACCGATTTTATTGTGACCCTTTCCTCCACAATAACTACAAGTCTTTTGTTGTTTTAAAGACAACCTAAGGCTTGATTTTATTCGTGAAGCAACCTTCAGACGCCCTTTTGTTTTGATTGGATGGATGAGATCACGCACATAATTAATGAGTGAAACTTGCGATACAATTTTAGGAGTTAGAGAAGGAACAATTTGGAGAATTGCTTCATCTTCAATTATCTTTATTTTTCTTTCCAATTGTTGTTGAATAAATTCAACTCCAAAAGCATCAAACCTTTTAATCTCATAAATACAATCCCTTGACTCATCAATAGCCATATTGCACTTGGAGAGAATCGACCACAAGGACAATGCACTAACTTCATTAATAGTTGTGTCATCATGATCGCCTACAAGATTTTCAACCTTATAGCTTGCATTCATGGTCCATTTAGAGAAAATATATTTTTCAGGAAGGGTTCTTAGTTTTTTCTTCTTCATGATGTATAGAATATGTTTACATGAAATTCCCACAGTCTCAAATTTAGCACACGAACAATTAGCTGTAAAGGTTTCTGTCAAATGAATGTAACAATTGTCCACCACTCTTTATCAACTTTGTGAGACCCCACCTTGTACCTAAAAAAAAGGAAGATAAGATAAAGTCACTTTAAATCTTTTACATCAATTAGGTCAATTTAACATATACTCCTAATAGTACCTGATTTTATTTTCGTCCGTTGAAATCTTTTTATGCTCATAGTCAAGTACGGCTTCCATCCACTCCTTTTTAAAGATATTAAATATTTTTCTTGTGTAGCGCTCACCAGCTATTGCTTCAATTTCATGAGCAGTCTCCAGAATTGCTTTTGTATTTTTAGTTTTAAAATCCTCATCTTCTTCGGCATCCCTCCTACACTTGATTGCTTTGTCATATTGGGTAACAAAGTCATTTAACATTGTGTTGGAGTTGACATATCCATCAAAAAATGCATTGATACTCTCACTTCGGCCACTTGTGGTCATTCCAGCCCAAAAAGTATCTTTCAAATATGTCTTTGCCCAATGATGACGTGAAGCATACATGTTAGACAACAAAGTACCTGGTTTGATATCATATTTAGTCCTCAATGATTCCCATTTGTCTTCAAACTCATCAATGCTTGGACTTTTATACCACGCATGAAAGTCAACATCAAAACTCTCCTTAAATTGTGCGTGTAGTGCTTGAGTATGTTCCATAACATGTTTTTTCATGTGCCATGCACAGAAACGGTGTCGTGTTGTGGGAAATATCTTGGCAATTGCTTTTCCAATAGCTTTATCTTGATCAGTGATAATAGCAGGAGGAGACTTGTCAAACATACATGCCTGAAACTGTTCAAACAACCAAGTAAATGTTGCCTCCGTTTCATCTTCTAACAAAGCGGCAACAAATAAAATTGATTGCCCATGATGATTAACCCCAACAAAAGGGGCAAAAGGAAACTTGAACTTATTCGTTTGATAAGTCACATCAAACACAAAGAGATCACCAAATTGAGCATATGCAGCTCTCGACCTACCATCTGCCCAGAATACACTTCTTAATGTTCCATCTTCCGCCAAATGCATATTAAAATAAAAAGATCCATCAAGAGTAGACTTCCTTTGAAAGTGCTTGATGATGCATTGACATTCTCGCCCCACATTATTCCTTCGCTGAACTGATATAATACTAGTGATTTGAGCTGGAGTAATGTTAACTTCTTTGTCTGTAGCATTCACCACCTTTGAGATCTTTGAAGAAGTTAAACCCTCCTCATAAAGCATAGAAACAAGAGATTTAGCAACTTTTACTCGTCGTAATTCATTCTGAGAAGGAAACTTCTTCACCTTTGATGGAGTGTTAATTAATGGGTGATTGTGTGTATCATTGAACTTCTCTACTTTCCATACTCCATCCACCAACTTTATCTGTAACATCGCTAAACAATTGGTCCTTGTATCCCTTTGCCTTTTAACCGCTTTATCATTTATTCTCTTGACGCCTTCTTTTGAACACACATATCTCCACCTATATATTTCTTGTGTTTTTGCACTCTTGTTAGAGAACTGCTTACGTATTCCGAACCTCTTACCTTTTGCATAATTATTATAAAAATCATAAGCTTCTCCTGAGATTCCAAAGACCCTACATAAAAAATTAGTCTCACTGAATTCATTGTTATCATCTCCTACAATTTCAAATGCATTATCTTGCACATGATCCATATCTTCGTCTTCCATAATTTCACATTGATCATTGTCAACAAACTCATCATTGTCTTTCTCCAAATCAACAAACTCAGTATTGTCTTTCTCTAAATCAACAATGTCATCATAAAAAATTAAGCTCGCACTCATGTCAATGTCCTCAATAGCTGTTATTTGGGAGTGATCCATTATAACGAACTCATGTCAAAGTCTTCAATAGCTATTCACAACCTATATTGACAAGAACCAAAAAAACTTAACACCCTCAATTGAAATTAACTTGACATTTAGAAAGAAAAGAATTTCCTTGAACTTTATGTTACATCAAGGTTGACATTCAAATAAAATTAGTTTCTCACTGGAATTTTTTTTTATAATCTTAAGGAAAAAAAAATGTAAGCATGCTGTCAAATGTTCATTGACAAAAACAATTGAACGAAAAAAAATTCATAAGCATGCTGTCAAAGGGTATGTGAAAAGCTTCATGTGCATTATCTTGTTTTCGTGGCTACCATGTTATGGTTTAACATATGTATATATTTAACAAAGTCCAGTCACTTCAGCTTAAACCTTTAACAAAAAAAAGAGAGAAACAAACACACTCATACCAAATTAAGCATGTTGTCAAATGGTCTATGAAAAGCTGAAAATAAAAAATAAACTCTTGCCAAAGTTGTAAACTTTAAACCCATCAAAATATCTTAGAATAGCAGAAGTGAGAGAAAATCCAACATAAAAAAAGTGTATTACATAAACTTAACTTCAATACAGGGATAAAAAACAAACCTGCAAGAATTCAAACACCTAAATATTTGTAGCAGTCGACATTTCTTCCATTAAGTGTTTCAAAGGTCTAATATAAAAAAAAAAAAAAAAAAAAAATAAAAATCAGAAAAAGCTAAACTTTTAGAAGCACAACACCTATAGGTATAATGTGAATCAAGTTCAAAAAAGAAATGTAACAGTAGCGTGTTCATGAAATGGGATTTTGGCATCACCTTTTTATGTTGGCTCTAGTTTTTTTTCTTCCATTTTTGTATTTCTTTTGCTATACTTGATGTCTTTTCTTGATGAATCTGAATCAAGTCTTTTGGAGAGAAGGAACTTGAAGAAAAACAGAGATTAGAATGGAGATGAGAATGGTGGAAAAAGGTGATGAATAACTTACGTGTAGACTAGGGAAGAATAGAGAACGTGAGAAGAGTGGAGAATGTACATGGAGGTGGGGAGAAATTTTCATACTAAAATGCAGCGTTTAACTTAAAATGATATAGTGTGTTATTTACAACCTCCATCGTCCCTCAAACCACAGTCACCACCACCGATGACAGCCGCCCCATCTCCTTCCACCACCCTCACCATCTTCAACCGCCAGTGACCACAACTTCACACCACCGGCCCACAACCTCCACAGCCCAACCGAGCCCCACTCCGTCGGCCGCCTTCACCACACACTGCCGTCATCCTCCTTCTCTTCACCACCTCTCATCTTCCAAATCGCATAACCAGCGTCCATAGCACCCCACAACCCCTCTCACAACCACATCTCCATCCTTGAACCACCGCTGGCCACCACACCAAAGCCTCATCCACCATCTTCTTCGAAGATCAAAGCCATCATCGAACACCCACAACCAGCCATACCACCCTTTGTATTTTATTTTATTTTATTCTTCACCAAATCACCACCGCTCCACATCGTCTTCCAAGCCAAGACCGAGACCTACCACTTCAACCACCGTGGACCTACATTCACCCACAGCCATCCTCTTTCCTCAGCCAACCGCCAGCCACCATCACAGCCTACCCCCTTCACCATACAAAACCACATCTCCACCGTCCACCCTTCATCTTGGCCAGCCACCATTTTTATTTTTTTATTTTTCCTCTTTTTTTTTTTTTTTCTTTTTTCCACCGCTAGCCACTACCCTTTCCACTACGCCATTGAAACTCCATTACCACACCCATCCACTTGTGACCACCTTGCTCGGCCGTTATCACTACTGTGAGTTTAATGTTTGGGGTCAAATTTCTAAACAAGGTCATTCATTCTCTTTCTTGTTGCTTACAATTTTTTTTCTCAAGTGCAGGGATGTTGATTTAAAGTAAGGGCTTTTTAGAGATTCATTTTTCTAATATTGATTTTGCCTAAATTTATATTGTGAGCTGTGAGCTTACCAACTTTTTAGGAGTTTTCAATTTCTAGATACATCATGTTATATGAACCCTTATTGTTTTGTTGATAATGATTGCAGGTTTCATTACCTAATTAAATGCACGGCTAATTGAAGCTAAAATGTTGCACCACTATTTTATACCCTGCACACCTCACGGTCTATTTGTGTATTTGGATGTTATGTAACCAACTGGGTATCACCATTAGACTGTAGCAATTTCTGTGTTGTGCTTAAGTCTATATCACTATATTTTAGCTTTTGCATTTGATTTGGGGACATATCACATGACAAATCTCGGAATGGTAGTGGTAGTGACTATACATGAACTGTTGCATTTGATTAAAGCTATATTTGAAAATAAATCTGGGAGTTGTGAGTAGTGATGCTGGTATTGTGATACTGCTGGAATTTTCTTTCTTAGTAGTATTGTTTATACATCTGCCATTGGAAATTTTCTGATTTTCAGGGTAAGACTATTCCAGGGACAAAAGGAAACACTTCAGGGAATAAGATGTCAAGCATGACAGGCAGCAAGTATCCTGAAGTACCAGCTTAAGGCAAAAGAGGATGTCACAGCTAATGATGAGCAGCTTTCTGATTAAGCACTGCAATTTTTTTTTCTGAACACCATTTCTTTTTCATTTTCTAGATTTTATTTTTATTTTTATTTTTAGTATTGTATGCAAATGCAGATATATACTCTTATTTTGATAATTCCTGTTAATAATCTCCTATTATCAATATTTTGTTTTGATCTAGGTGTATGTTACAGAATCTTTTGATTTAGTATTATTGCTGAAGACAACAATATTTTAAATATGGGAATTGGTTGCATATTATGCTTGAACTGAGGAATACACACAGAGGAATATATATGCTCAGCAGGAATTTTCAAATTCAGGGGAGATATTTCGGGACATCGACTAAAATGCCACTTTTCACCAACTTTTTTACCTAAATGCCACGCGAACAATGTTATTTCCCAATATGCTACGTGAGCGAGTTCGCTACAGTGCCCAGCGAACTCGATTGGATAACGTGTCACGTTTTTAGTGGACATAGTACCAAGTTCGCTACTGGAGTAGCGAACTTGGTTGGACTTTTTAATTGGAAAAAGTTGACATTCCAACCAAGTTCGCTACTGGGAGTAGCGAACTTGGTACTGTGTCCACTAAAAACGTGACACGTCATCCAATCGAGTTCGCTGGGCACTGTAGTGCACTCGCTCATGTGGCAGATTGGGAAATAACACTGTTCGCGTGGCATTTAGGTAAAAAAGTTGGTGAACAGTGGCATTTTGGTCACTGTTCCAGATATTTCAAACTTTTGAATTTTTTTATTTAATTTTATTTGATTTTATTCTTTTTTTTTTAGTTTTCTGTTTTCCGTTCTACTAGTACTAGTGTCTCTGAATGTTTCTTCAAAATAGCATGAGCTGAATTGGTTAATAAATGTGAATAAACTCTAGGAGGCATAAGTTAAACTCTGAGAATTCAAAATAATTTTTTCTATCATGACATTGCATTGAACATTATCTAGAAAATATGACTGCTCGTTTGTGTGATTTTCTTTATGAGAATTTTTAGATAAAACTTTGATGGGAAAATTAGGAATTAAATTTTAGCTTGATGCCACAGCCTGCGAGGTTTGAGCCTAAACAGTTAATTTTTTTTATAGAGGCCTCACTGTAGTGGTACTCTAGAACTTGATCTGTTTCTCTGTGATGCATGCATGAGTTGAAATGATAAAGACATTCTTGTTCTTGTTAGCCATGTTAGAATATTATATATGATATGATTAGATTTGATTAGATATGATTGGATTCTGTCTTATCCGTAAATAGTCTGACTGTATTCTGACTGTATAGGATTAGGTTTGGATTAGGTTTGGGCCTTACACTTAAGCCCATTAGGATCTCTATATATTGTAACTCCCTGACACAGATCAATACATAACGTATTCTTTTACATTTAACTTGGTATCAGAGCTTTTTCGCTCTGGGGATCCGCTTCCGCTAAAACCCTAAGCCCACTGCTTAGGTGTTCTCTTCTACTTTACCGTGCATTCTTCCGGCGAGTTTCTCTCTAAGCCGTGTGTCTCTCCGGCTTGTTTCTTCAACTGTCAGAACCACTTCCCACCGCCAACAACCGCCGCTCGTCACTGTTCAGGCCACCGGAACCACTTCCGGCCGCCAACAACCGCCGCTCGTCACTGTTCCGGCCACCAGAGCACTGTTCCGGCGAGTTTTCAGCCCAGACTACCTGCGATCAGGACCGTCTCATCCCGGCGACCAGTTCTGTGGTGGTCCGACCACCGTCGCGTCATCAACGCGCCTCCACGCGCCGTTCTTCTCCTCTGCGCGTGGTACTCACGCGCCACCTTCAACCGGCGCGTGTGCACTGTTCCGGTGGATTTTTCCGGCCGTTCTTGGACAGAACTTCTCGCCTTCTTCTCCTCTTTCTGGATCTGTGCTTGGTTCTTTGTGGGTCTCACTTTAGACGCGTGGTTCTCCTTGATTGGATATCGTTTGCCTTCGTTTACGGCTTTTATATTCTGTTTTTAAATGGCAGCAGCGTCCACTGATCTCTCGGAGGTTAACTCTCCTTGTCCTCCTGTCAAAACTTCCTCAGGAATCATCTCTACTAATATTGGGCTCATTACATCTTCCAAACTGAAGGATTCTACCTCTCTTGCTGCGAATATAGCTCAGTCAGACAATGCATCATTTGGTTCAGTTTCTCTCTCACTTGCGGACTATGCTGCACTCCAAACTCTTCTCAAGAAAGCTTCTCCTCAGTCTCAACCATATACTGGTAATCCCGTTGCTTGTGTTTCTCATTCTACATCACTTGGCACTTGGATATTTGACTCAGGTGCTACCGATCATCTCTGTGGTAATAAGGAACTTTTTACATCTCTTACTTATTCTGATCATTTACCTTCTTTTACCCTTGCGGATGGAACCAAAGCCCCAGTTCGTGGGATTGGACAAGCTCGTCCGACCTCTACCTT